TCCTAATAATGAACACATTCATTATTTAAAAGGATTGCTAAAAATAAATGCCATACCTAAAATGTCTAGCATAGAAATTGTTCAGTAAAGGACTATTATTCTATTATTATGAGACTTTGATTTGATCGTATTCCAACTATGTCTTCATTTCCACTTTTTGTACTTATCTAATGGAAACCTAACAAATTTCAAAAGATCCAATAATTTGACATACTTTATAAAAGGTCATTATATGTTCATTGGCTCATCCTACCCCATTGTATTGTTAAAATACTGATATAATTTTCCTCTTCTTTTTAATTGAAATTCAGTTAGAACATGCAGGTGTAAGGAAAATGACAACTAGTATAAATAAATTACTTTTTAAAATCTGGAATCATTAAAGTTATATCACACCAAAAGTAAAATGTTTCTTTCTTATGAATACACATTGTTTGGGGGCTTAATCCATATCAAAATTATTTCCATGTTAGTTCAACATAAAGCTTAATAGATCATGTCATTATAACATGCCATCATTAACCTTTTTTCATAGAATTCATAAAAATTTCAGTGGGTCTATTTTTTTTCTTTCTTTGTAGTATGTGTTCAGTGTCTATTGCTGCTGTTAGAAATTACCTCAAAACTTAGCAACTTCAGACAGGACTCATTTTGTTATCTAGGGTTCTGTGGGTCAGAAGTTTGGGCACAGTGAGCATAGGCTGGATCCTATGCTCATAGCCTCAGGAGGCAGAAATCCAGTCATTAGCTGGTCTGAACTTTTAAAATTTACTTTTATTTTATTACTGTTTTTGTATGTATTCATTATTTGGGCAGGGGGCTCTCAGAAAGATCCACTTCCATGCTCATTATGTTGTTGGCAACATTCAGTTTTTTTGCACTTCTAGGACTAAGGTCTCTATTTCCTGCCTGTCAGGGCCAATTTTTGATCCTAAAGGCAGCCTACATATTTCCCGGTGTTCCCCATGTGTCCCCTTCAGCAGTGATGGATTGAAGCCTTTTAGGATTTGAATTCCTCTGACTTCTATAGCATCTCTTGGACCCTGGCTAGAGAAATTTCTCTGCTCTTAAAGGTTTTTGTGGTTAGATTGAGCCCATTGTGAGAAACCCACATCATCTCATTATTTTAAGGCCTATAACTTTTTTTTGCATCTGCAGACTGCCTTTTGCCATGTAATTTACATATTCATATTCACATGTTTCCAAAATTAGGGTAGGAGTGTCTTTGGGTTAGTCAGCCTCTTCCACTGTTTTAAAATGATCTTTTCCTCACTTCATGCTAGAAAAATCTCCCCTACATACAGGTAAGCTTAACATTTTAGGAAGGGAAAATGGAGCTCTTATGACTATATTCCATAATGTAATTTAAATATAGCATTGTAATTGGATTTTAGTTGGAAATGATTAAGATCAATGACTGTGTATGAGCTCTTTAAAGTTCAAAATGTGTCAAGAGCCTTATTGGTTCAGGTCTATACATAAACCCACCTTCCTATTATGAATTTTGTTTTAATTCAAAACTTCATAGTAAGGAAAGAGTCTACAAATTTACTTTTCCGCCTTTCATTAGACTTTTGGTTTCCTGTTTCATCAACTTTATCAAATTTGTTATTATGCTGTTGATATTTGCCATATTGAACAACAGAATCCATTTCTGAATCATCTAAAATCCTATTTTATTATCATTGTGCAGATTACAAATATGATTAAGCTTGTATATCATGGCCAGGTGTGGCAGTGAACACCTGTTATGCCAGTGAGTCAGGAGGATGAGGCAAGGGGATTGCAAGTTCAAGGCCAGTCTCATCAACTTATTGAGACCCTAGGAAACCTAGTGAGACCCTGTTTCAAAGTAAAAAAAAATTAAAAGGGTTGGGGATGTGGCTCAATGGTAAAGCACCCCTGAGTTAAATCCCCAGTACCTAAATAAATAAATAAATGTGTGTCATGGTTTGGTCTCGTTTATATTCTATTTATTTGTTAAGTTTTATATTCATAATATAAGTTTTATATTAAAGAGATTGTAAACCAAGATAGCTCCATCTGTTTTACCAGTTACATATTAAAATATTTCTAATAATTTATGTGAAATTAACTACCATATTTCAATGCTTCTAGTAACTCATTTTTTAGAAACCCACCTAAAAATATTAAACAACTTCTTGGTGTATAGTAATTGTTTTTCTACATTTTCTAATTCAAGGACTTTATTATTTTTTGGTTACTATTTATTAACTTCACATCAATTCCAATTGAAATAGACTTACTTTCATTTTGATAATTATAAATGTTATAATTTAATGTCATACCACCTAATTGGTTCTTAAATATGCATATAATTTAGCTGTGTAGAGTTCTTTTTCAGAAATAAACTTGAGGTTGTTAGTTAAATGTTTTTGTATAAGAATTAGTGAAATGTTAGTGAAATAGTTACAGTGATCAATTTAGTAGATCAAATAACACATAAGCCCTAAAAGTCATTGTGTTTTTACGTTAGGATTCCTTATGCCATTTAGGTTTTACTTTAACATTTTACTTTAACATTTTACTTTATCTGTACATGGTGGCCTTGTCAGAATCTGATGCGGTTAGAAATATTCTATTTACAAACTGTATTTCGAGTTGTACATCCTTTATGTTAAAGATTCTGAGAATCAAGGGGAAATGTAATCCATTTTTCTGTATCAGAATCTTGTATCTCAAGGACATAAGACAAAGATTTCTCTCATCCTGCAGTTCATTATTCTCAAGGGCCATGTGTACTTTTGTCTCTGACCCTCTAAAAATGTGTGACTGGATATAGTATAAGCAAGGGTTTAAAAGTAAAATAAACGAACAACAACCAAAAAAAAAAAATCAGGAGTATGTTCCCAGATATGGCTCCCTGTGAAAAAGAGAAAATGTGTTGCAGCACGGTGCACGGAGTGCTGTGCTATGAATTTCAAACTATTATACACTTCAAATATATTTTTAGGCACCCTTCTTTCCACCAAATCCTCAATTACCATAATTTTGTTGGTAAAAGTTCTTTTCCAGGATGAAATAATGAATGTAATTTTAGTGTGTAACGTGCACAAATCAAGTCTTATTTTATACTCGGCTCTTTCTTCAATGCACTAGAAACTAAGGCTAGTAGGCTCAGATTCCAGTCTCCTTCATATCTCAAAGAATTCAGCATCCCTGCTTCTTTTGCTATACCATCCTGGGGTAGAAACCAAGCAAACACCTTACAGTTTACTCATACCAAAAATCACTTTAAGAAAGGTGCATTATTCAAAAATGAACCAGAGACTTAGACTTAACTTCTCCCTCACCTGTTTCTCGCTGACCTACTTAATGATGGCACACTTAAGTTGTGAACCCTGATGGGAGAGCAGCAGATCTACTGGGTAGTGTGCTGTCCATGCAGAATTTTCTCCTGTGTTGTATTCTGTATTTTTTAACTACGGATTTTTCTGAATGGCTTTGTTAAGTGCATTAGAGATTATTTGTTAAGTGTAACCTCATCTCACAATTGGTTGGGTTTGTGTTTCCCAAGGTACTGTCCCAAGGAAGCATGCTTTAAAGTATCCCACTCTGTGAAACAGGTTAAATTCATTCTGGGCAGAGAGCAATCATGTTAGCGACCAATTCTTCACTGTACACACTCAGGGTTCAAAAGTTGTGGCAAAAATAAGACCTCTTATTAGAAATTTGCTTCATTAAGACATAGTCAAAATGCATTTAGTCTGTAAACACAGTCAATTGTGTAGCGGCATCCCCTACAAGGGAAAGTTGTCCCACTTAATCGGCCTCGTTACTCTTTTTTCAGTAATCTGTGAGGAAATGGGAGTCATGAATCTTCCCTGTCCTTCCTTCAAAATTGCCTGGCCAGAAAGAAGTGAAAAATGTGTTTTCTAGACATTCATACAAGAAAATATTAAGAAGTAGAAGAAACAAAATAAAGCCACAGGGATAAACATCAGAAGCTTGCTTAAATGGCTCATCCTCATATAATTGCTTTTCTGTCAGCAGGATTATTAACAATTTCGGACATCTGAAAATTAAATTAACAGCCTTAAAATATTTTACAGAATGAGATAGAGCATGATACATGAAACATAATGACCCCACTGAAATTCAGCCAAGCCAGCGCAGCTACTCGTGTAGACAGAGAAGACAACTAGTTAATCATCACAGAGCAAATTAGACAGAGCAAATGAGCTTGCCACATTCCACAGCCTTAGCTACCAAGAAGACGATATGCCACTAATTAGAATGAAAGAACTCTAAGCATATTATTATCTGTATAGAAAGAGAAACCAAGAGTGTAGCTTTGAATTGCTTCTACCAAAGCCGGAATCCTTGGTTACATAGTATATGGTACAAAGTACACTTGTGAAAGTTCGTATATGTGTTTGTATGGTGTTCATGCATATATTTAATTTAGGGCACACTTTTTGCATCTTGACATCATGACCCTTACAAATTTTCCCCAATATTAATTTATACTCTTTGAAAAAAGCAAACAGTTGGAATGCAAAAGCATTTTGTAAAAGTGTGATCATCTCTTTTAAAGAATAAAATAGCTGTTTTGTTTTATATCTTTTCTTACATAGTATTGTTATTTTTTTTCTTTTGCAAAGTATATTTCTGTTGCATATAAAATAAATATTTGGACTTAGTTTATCACTGGAGATTAATCTGAAATCATATTTTCTAGCCTTAATTAGCATTCATTTGCTTAATTGTCATTCTCAGCCCCATCATTTCCATTTTTCACTAACTTGAACAATGCTATCTTCTGCTGTTTGCACTTTAATTTAAATTTCTATTAAGGTTTATGAACAGTAATAAGGTCCTGTTTGAATATTCATTAGCTTCTGAATTGTGAGCTATGAAAAGGTGCTTTCTTTTACCTTAATGAAACTGGCACAGCATGGGACTGATCAGTTGTGACATTTGATTTGAGGCATCCAGTGAATTTTCTCATTGTTTATTGACACATCTTGTCCAAACAGCTCCCTCGCAAGTGAGCGGAGTAATGAAGGAGAGAGTGCTGCAGCGGAGTGTCGAGCTTTCCTGGCAGGAACCAGAGCATCCCAATGGAGTCATCACCGAGTATGAAATCAAGTATTACGAGAAAGTAAGTGCTAAGAGCAGCTGAAATGTACGACAGTGTGTGCTGTGTCTCATGTCATCCTACTGTTTTGTACCCCAAAGTTGGTCATTATGCAAACAACTTGGAACTACTTCAGAATTTGTAGTCAATTTTAGCCATTTTTAATAAGCGTCTCCCTGAGTCTCTGTTTCATTGTTACAATCATGATTTTTGTGTATAAAATTTCTATTACAGAACTGATTATTTCATTTGTAGTAAACGTATTTACTCAATTTTTGATACATAGTAATTAGAGGTATGATGTGTTAGTACAACAGAAACTACAAAGCCCAATACATTTTGCTTTTTGCTTGTTTCATTTTTGTTGTGTGCTTTTTGTTTTTAGCCCAATATATATATTTGTGTGTGTGTGTGTGTGTGTGTGTGTGTGTGTGTGTGTGGTGCTGGGGATTGAACCCAGGGCCTTGTGCATGGCAGGCAAGCACTTTACCAACTGAGCTATATCCCCAGCCAGCCCAATACATTTTGAGAAGTGTTGCTCTTGATATATCTGTTTGGACTCTTAATGATTTATGGAATTTATGTGATTCCATAATTATATCATCAAATACTTTAGAAGTGTGATAAAAATAAGAATATTTTGCAAGAGACTTTTGTAGTATTGTCCAGATTTAAGAATCAGATAATGTTATTTTACTCCTTTAAATTCTTCCTGAAATGTATTTCATATGTTATGCAATCATATCTAGCACCTTCTTCCATGAAGAATAATGGGCTAGAACTCAAGTGCTGCCCCTGTAATCTTCTTGTAGCAGGTGAACTCAGCAAATAGTTGTGTATCTCAGTATATGAGTACATTTGCTCCTGTGGAGAGAGAACAAAACAAAAATATAAAAAAGATTTGTTACAGATATCCCTGGTGCACCTCAGAGAAAGACCTGGATCAAGGTTTTAAACATGGAAACTATTACTCTTGTTTTACTAATCATAATAATAAATGTTGCTAGTATTGACTCAACTAGTTAACTACACAAACTATTTTAACTATGTAGACAGGATTACTAAATGGAAACTTAAAGCTTTGGAAAACTTTAGGATTTAGTAGACTTGGTTAAATAAATTGAAATATGCAAAATACTCTGGTAATAAGTATACTTTTTTCCTTTTGAAGAAAAAAAATTTAAAGGTTACACTTAATGTTCATATATTGTTTAAAATAGTTTTCTAATTATTTACATTATGAAATCAGGTGTTTATGCTTGAAGTTGTGATTCCTATGCCTCATTTTTGTACCAGGAAATATATTTTTGGTTACAACAAGTGTGTTCAAAGGGGATCACTGTTTTTAATATTGTTTGTGTTGTACATTTTCTGATTACCTCAAGTTATAGTTCTTTCTTGAAACTATCAGATTTCAAAGATAATAAAACACAGGTTTCAAGTAAAGTTTCTCATAATGCAAATTTGAAATATTTTGCAAATTCTATGAAATAAATGTGTTTAAATAGCTAATTTTTATTTTGCATGACAGAAATGATATCTCTATATTCAGTAAATTTGCAAATTAAGCAATTATTGGAAAACAGTACAAGTATTTCATTGTGCTGTAATGTATGCAGGCATATAATCTATTTATCATCATGTTCCTCTAATACATTAAGACTCGTTCTTTTATTTAAGATAAATATATAGACAATACCAACTATCATTTTTACAAATGATAATAATGAAGACAATCACAGGTCACTTTCATGAAATTGAATTTAAGTATAGATTTATTTGCAGTTTGTAAATATCATTGTGAAGGTAAATCAAACCATAAGACTGACATTTTCAAATTTCAATGAACAATTTTATTTCTAAGTAAAATTGAATAGGAGCATTTACATAGAATAAATAAAAACTCTCTAAAGTTATATAAAGTATTATCTTTTAAACTACTCATAAATAACTTAGTTACATCAAGGAAGTTTTAAATTTTTATTCATCTAAATATCATTTTGATGATGTTCTCTATATGCTCAAATTTTTATATTTATTTCATTCTTAGGCTTATCATGTATGTGCATACAATGTGTTTGATGCCTATGAGATAAAGAAGATAGAAAATGAAACTTTAAAGTAAACTTCTCAAGCCTCAGTTTTCACAGGAAATAGAATTAAATTTAAAATTTTGTCAAACCATAAATTAAATGATAATTTACTTTCATATTGAGTTTTTAATTAAAAACATTCCATTAAGTACTGCTAAGAACTATTTTGTAGAAGTAGCTTTGTTCTGTGAGAAATGAGTTTTTATTGAAAATAACTGATGTGTCATTATAGTGTTGGTTTGAAGAGAATTTCTTGATTCAATAACTTTCTTAAGTTTTGGCATATGGCTTTTTGCTTATTATATAACATTTGAGAAAAATTAAAGGAACTACAATATGATACAAAAAGCTCTCATAAACCATAGTTTTTATAGGTGTACTCACATTTTGATCAGTAGGGCACTTTGTTATATTATGGTTCTTGCCATTATGCGCTATCCCAACAAAGCAAAAAACCAAACATTATAATTATTTCATTCATAAAGTATTTCTCTTTGAAAGTCATAGAACAAAGGCAAGCATTTTACATTTAGATTTTATATTATCTTAAAAGCAACTCACTGTTATAATATTCCGCAAGGCACAATGTAGCCTCTATAAAAACAATACAGCAAATTGAAATAAATTGCAGAATTGGCTGTCAAATTATTGGGTTACATTCACAATTAAATATTCTCTATAAATATTGTTTCTAGGATCAAAGGGAAAGGACCTACTCGACTGTAAAAACCAAGTCCACCTCAGCCTCCATAAATAATCTGAAACCAGGAACAGTGTATGTTTTCCAGATTCGGGCTTTTACTGCTGCAGGTTATGGAAATTACAGTCCCAGACTTGATGTTGCTACGCTAGAGGAAGCTACAGGTAAAATGTTTGAAGGTAATTACAACCTTTGGTTTGAATTCTTATCCTTGATAACTCTCAGACTTATTTTTTTCCAGTATCAAGGGTGATGATTTGCATCAAGATAATTTTTATATATAAAAATAAATACATATGCACATACATGCATACTTTATAAAGGTCATTCAGGATAATAATTTTTCTATTTCTGGGTTGTTTTTTTCCCTGCAATGTTCGAACCTTATAATTTACACTACTTACTTTAACATGCACTGGATTTATTTATTTTACAAAGGTGAAGTTAGAATTAGAAACAAGATTTATACATTTTTTTATGTTGACACAAGATTTTTTTTATAGACTTCAAAGTAATCATGCTTTGGGTCCTTCAAATTATTCCTTCTGAAAATTTCCCCAAATGAGGCTGGGATGTACATGGGGTGGACAAGAGAACCATAGCCAAGAGCTGTGTTAATTTAAGCTACTTGTCACTTAGCAGTAATTTCAAACACTGGAGTTCAGAAAGAAGATCTTAGAACTTATATTTCTTTTGTTTTCATCATTTCTTTCTTCGTTTTTATTATGAAATATTTCAAGGATACTAAAGAAATACAGTATATAAAAATATAAAGGAGATAAGTAAATGAATATCCCTGTATGCACCACTCAGCTGAAATATACAACGGAAACAATAACTTTAAACTCCTTTATCACAATTGATATTCTTTAGTGCAACATAAAATTATAACAAATCATGTATATCTTTGTAGTATGTAACAAATGAGCAGGTGTGTCTTGAGGTGTGTGTCCAAGCTAACTGTTAAGACTACAGGTTCAGAATAAGGGACTCACTACTGGCTGTGCTTCAGGTGGATTGAAGCCTGTGTTTCTGTACTGGGGAATTCTTGATTCCTCACATTACTGCTCAGGCACAAGGTTCACCTCATCTCCTTGCCAATCTAGTGTCCCTATAAAATTCTAAACAAGAGAGAGTAGAAAAATGTCATATGATTTTTTCCCTCACCTTTTAAAAGAAGTTTTAAAAACAAATTAAATTAAATGATTTGATCAAAGAATTGCTTTGACTTCAAAGAATTTTTTATAGATATTTTATGAAATATCTTTTGCACTTATTTATTGTTTGAAAGCCTAAAAATAGTAGTATTTTTTTTCAAAATATTTTTGTTGCTCTTTTTTTGGGGGGGAGGGGTATCAGGGATTGAAATCAGGGGCACTTAATCACTTAGTCACATTCCCAAAAACCTTTCATTTATTTATTAATTTTTAAATTAAGACAGGGTTTCACTAAGTTGCTTAGAACCTCACTAAGTTGCTGAGGCTGGCCTTAAAATTATGATCCTCCTGATTTATCCTCCCAAGCCATTGGGATTATAGGTATGTGCCATCATGCCCAGTTTTGTTACTTTTTGATGAATCAATAGTACTTATGACCACAAAAAATAAAATTTATGTTGAAATCATTTTGAAATATAAATTGTTTTATAAAATTGTAGTTATACATAGGCATCATAGAAAAATTTGTCACATAATTTGTTATGAGGAGCTTAATGCTATTCTGATTTATTATTATCATTTTTAAATAGATTATATAAGACCCAAAGTGAAAGTATCTAAGTTTAGTGGCCCCAAAATATTATAAAAGCATTTTAGTCAAGAATTTCAACATTTAAACGTTTGAGTGGTTTATTGTTAAAATATGCTACAGTAATTTTCAACTAAGGCCAATCTCTTGCAGGCATGTGGCTGGGTTCACATCTTACCTCTACTATATCCATTTATAGAATTTGGGGTGAATGAGCTATTTTGGTGTACTGTGCTAAGATAGCAGTACCCAACTCAGAGGGTATTTTATGACAATTAAATAAATTAATATACACAAAGTGCCACATGTAGTTCCCAGCATGAAAGTTCTCACATGCCAACTTTTATTATTTAGCACAGCCATTTTCAAAGTTTCTGATCTCAGAAAGATTTTTACATTAAAAAATATTGAGGACTTCCAAAACAATCGTGTCCATGTGGGTTTTAGCTATCACTATTTGTCAAGTTGAAAATTGAAATTAAAATTTTAAGAACACAAGAAAATGCAAATATTATCTTCCTATTATAGTAAAACAATTTTGACCTTGTAGATCCCACCAGAAAGTTCTTGAGGATCCTTAGGGATTCCTAGACAACCTTTTGGGAACCACTTAGCATGAGGCACTGTGTAAATAATTGTGTATATACAGAGATGCAAGATACAGTTGGTGCTCTCTGTTTAAAGCTTAGTGAAAGAGGGAGTTTACAAATTCTGACTACACAATTAAGCTCTGGAAGAGTGTGTGACCCCATATGGTGAGCATGTCCAAGAAGAGTAGTGGGACTCACTGTACTAGGACATAGGGCAGGAGGGAAGATGCTTCCTGAGAGAAGTCACTTGAGCACTGTTTGAAAGAGAAGTTAAACTCAATTGTATATATACACTAAAATTCCCTTGTATAAAGAGCCAACCTACTGCCTTTACAGTTTTTAGGCCATGATGTTCTGATTATAGCTTTTACAAATTACTTGTAAAATTTATTGCCCATGAAATAGATGGAAACATTAGCCATAAATGTCAAGTATGGAAAACTTAAAATTTGACTCTAACTGTACATAAATACATATAAATAAATATTCTCAAATTCTGATTCATCAGTCACCTGAGTTAATTTTTCTCATGGAGCTCTAACTCTGAAGCTAAGGGAAAAATTGAGCCTAAGACAAGCAGAGAATTAGACCGATGGGACATATTGATTGAATGGAAAGAATTTCTATACATATGTACATAATTTCTTCCTTCCTTCCTACTCCATTTTCTCTATCTATCTATCTATCTATCTGCAGATTAAAAAACAAAATTGAACCAAACTAACAAACAAAAATATTTGAAATCATCTTGTCTTTGTTGTGTGTTAACAGGCTAAAAATTAAAACTTGAAACCTTGAAAGTTTTTTTTTGTTTTTTTTTCTCCCAAACTTTGCTTAGTTCCCTTGGGGAGCAAATCACATGATGGTAAATTAGGAACTATGTATATAACGCCTTTGTTCAGACACTATCAGACCAGCTATTTTTGCTATTTTTCAATATAGAAAATACCTCTTATTAGCATGGACATACAGATTTAAGAAATAAATTGTCAAAAGGACACACTCATGAATAAAACAAAAACAAAGCTAGTGCTGCCTATTATGGCAAGATAGACTCTGCCTACTCTAGAGATCCTGTCCCTTGCCACCAACTGGAGTAGTATTTTCCATTCTGCCTTAAAGATTAAAGCTGTTGATTGTTTCAGAAGTAAGCAAACCATGTTAATTTGACTTCATTTATTATATATTTGTAACTGGATCATTTATTGGCATATATGTTTTCATTGTTCTATATGCCTGATGATTTTATCAAGTCTATAACACTATTGAAAATATAATACTCTGGGGAAAATGTGGTAATGGTGAATTGCAATATAAGAAAACCTTGACTAGTTTGGAAAAATGGAATTGATAATATGTGTTACTTTGAAGTATTTTAATCAGAGACTGTTTTAAAGGACATGGAAACATGAACTCATTCCCATGGAGAGTTTTAGAAAACTCCAGCTGAGTTTGCATTAATAAGCATGTAAGAACCATTTAGTATTGTACAGGAAGTATCTACAAATAATGACAAAATATTTTTTAAAGTACTTGCAGAAAATTTTCCGTTTCATAAGTAGGCTAGGTCCTCTCTAATCTTACAACTTATATAAAATGCAAAAGTAGACATATTTTAAATTTACATTGATACTATACAATTAATTTATTTAAAATTAAAAGTGAAATAAATAAAACAGATATTTCTTACTCTGTTTAACATCTTATATTCTTGCATGACATTGAATATTTCTGAGCCTCTTTCTTCTGTTTACAGCCACAGCTGTCTCCAGTGAACAGAATCCTGTTATTATCATTGCTGTGGTGGCGGTGGCAGGGACCATCATTTTGGTGTTCATGGTGTTTGGCTTCATCATTGGAAGAAGGTATAACATGGAATTGTTCTAATATTTAACATAAAATTATTGATTTTTGAGCATTAAATAGACCTGTTACTTATTGATTTTAGTATATTAGAATCTTATACAGTAAATGAGAACTTTCTTTGTCTGATATAAAATCTCAAGTCAATAAATGGTTATTATTCCAAGATCAAAACAAAGTGAGAGTTTTATTATTGCCTTCAGTTTAAGGGGAATGAGCATTGTAATTTCTATTGGATGGATTTTTATTGATTATTTTCATAGTTACATTTTCATAAAAATGTAGAAAATACCTAACAAATGCTTTACTCTATAGATATTGAAATAAATGCCTGTGGAAACCATTTAAAAACTGGGAGTTTTTTCCCAAAGAAATAATAATCAAATATGCATTTATTTATAAATCTAAATCCATAAATAAAGTTCTTTTTTGCATTGTTTTACACTAAGACTCCATTTTCTGTGAGTTTTTAAAATCATGTGAATTGTCATATTCTCACTAAATGGATTTGTATCTATTAGGAAATAGTTTTTAAGTTATAGTTCTCACTAGTATGTTGTTAAGTAATAAGGTACCTCATACTGAATGCTAAATATATAAAGTAAAATCATTGATTGATATTGTCACAAATTTGGCTTTTTCCAGGCACTGTGGTTATAGCAAAGCTGACCAAGAAGGGGATGAAGAACTTTACTTTCATTGTAAGTGTTTGGCTTTTCTTTATTATTCTGTACCCCAATTAATAAAATGCAAATATCATTGTTAATATTGGCATGAACAAATTCCTGATGCATCATGCTTGACATTATATGAGATCAAACTTTTGCTTTAAAGCATTTAAGATATTTAAAATGAAAATCATGTGATGTGAATTCAGAAAAGTAAAGTGTTTTGAGAAATGTAATATGACTGAACTATATTCAGCTGCTTTTACATCACAATTTTTCCTTTTGCAAACTTTGCACAAGTATTTCTTAACATTTTAATAACAATTCATGAAATGTTTCATGTCCCCATTTGCTGTCTAAAGAATATAACTTCAGATTAGGAGGATAAACCCTTTTCTCTTGCCCAATGAGTGATGCTACTATGAAATATTGTTTATCACTCATAGATATTTCATGGTGCACAAAGAATACAACAGTATTTCCAATTCACTGTATTTTCCTATTGATTTTGAGTTACCTCCCTCTTAAAAGTTCATATCAGAAATCACATTCTAAAGAGAACCTCAGACCCAAAGACAGTGCCCATCTGTGTTGATCTTATTCTCATTGCAATGTGAATGGCAAATTAAAATAGGAGCTGAGAGTAAAATAAACCGAACAATCAAATTATTCCAGTTCTGAAAATTAATAATTACTATTCAAACCCGTTATTCCTATTTTCAATCCTTGAAAATATTTAAAACCAATTTTATGTATTTTTTCTTCATAGATACAATTCTTACTAAAATTTTTCATCATAAATTTCCTATATATATATCATAAGAATATCACTTATCATGCAATTGATCATATTCTTATGTCAATATTGTAGAACATTTTGTCATATGCCCTCCTAAAGTCATAAGTACACATAAGCATCAATCAAGAATTCCTAATCATTTTAGAATATCCTTGTGATTGTTTTATTTAAAATTCAAATGAATATATGTGGTTTAAATACACAAATTGTGACTACTCTTTTTATCATTCCTAAATTTTTCAATGTGTTTTTATTTGTTAAGCCACCTTACCCCAATTTTAGATTTTGAAAGAGAGGTTGATTTATGTAATACAGATCCAAATTGAATAGGTATAGAATTCCAGTCAGTAAAGACAGGAAGGGCATGTGGGATGTGACAGATTACTAAAGTAAAGGAGAGGTAGATTTTTTTAAATCATGATTTTTAAACTTCAAGGCTCCTAATTTCATGGATTCCCTCCCCATTCCTGACCCTGGGAGGCCCTAAGCACTTTCACATATGTAATTGCATCTTCTTTTCTCAAAGAGGGTATCCCAGATCATAGGAGGTTCCAAACTTAAAAAATTTGAACCTACTCCTGATTATAAGGGAGTTCATGTGCCTCTGCTACCCTCCTGGGATTATCCAATATGTCCCCACTGTGCGAACTTCCTTTTGCTAATTCATCAGGGATTTCCCTGTGACAAGCCTCAGTGAAGAGAGCACTATAGTCAGCATATAGCTAGAATTTTCAAAGGAAAAGTGAAGGTCTCAGTTTTTCCAATTTCATGATAGTACAAAATATTTTTTAACAGTCCCCCAGACGGGAAGAGGAGAATCAAAACTTGAATCCCTATATTTTTATTTCTAGTGTAAAATGTATACAGAGGGTTAACATGAGACCTTGTTTCCTGGCTTGATCCTCCCCACATGTAAATAATGTAATGGCACAGTTCTTTAAGTTTATCATAATCAGTATGTCACTTCGTTTCATTTATTGACTATATCTGAGATATCACAAAATTATCAAAGATATAAATTTTAGTTAATTTGATTTTAATTCATAGGTTAATGTAGACATTAAATTGAAACACGGCTTATCCAAAACTAGTTGTACAGCCTAGTGTTTCATTGTCATCATTCAGTTTCAATATTTTGATGCCGTTCACATTTTCATGTTTCACATCCAGTTTGTAAAGAAAAATATGTAAGTGAATGTCTTAAGCTAACTTAGAAAAGATGAACTTGCTATATATCAACAGTTTTCATCTCTGTGGAAAAATATCTATGGTGGTTTAAAGGTATTTAACATTCATGAAAAATGTAAATGAGGTATTAAAGCATAAAAAAATCACACTTTTACACTGAGATAAGAACAGACCAGAATATTCAGAAACTATGTCAATATTTTCTTTATTTTAAAACATTCATATGAAAAATAAGAGCACTTAACCTGTCCTATCCTGGTAATCTTTAATATTTTACAAGGATATCTTTTCTTGTCATTTGATAAGAACCAGATATTTCATTTCATTTTATTATTATATCTAACATACCTCAAGTACAACACTGTGGGAACCAGCTGTTTACAAGTTGGGGTTCTTTTATTGTACATGGACAATTTTCCTAGGTGCTAAGACATTGGATTGAATTTTTGCAGAAACTTGAAAGCAACCATTTAACTGGCTTTTAGAGTACTGAATTTAATAGACTGTCCAGTCATTTGTATCAGGTGCACTCAACTCTCGGTGGCCCCAAGTGCTACATTTAAAAATATAAACACAATGGAGGAGTTTAGTGAAGCAATTCCAGTTTACATTTTGTTTCCTCCTACCATTTCTTCTAACAATGTCTTGGAATCCAAGCTGGGCAGCATTTCATGTTTTTATGCCAAAATAGCTTTGGCCTGTCAAAATGTTTTATGACAGCTTGAATAAAGAACCATCAAAGAGCCATTTGAAATGCAGAAGGCTAACTCCAATCTAGCTCTCTTATCAAAAAATAAAAACAAACAACAACAACCCCCCACCCCCATCCCACCCCCACCCCACCCCCCCAAAAAAAACAATGAAAGAAAGAAAGAGAGAGCAAAAAGGGAGAAGATGGCTCTTTCTCCATCTGCCTGCCAATCTAGGAGGTTAACCTATTGTTTTCTTCCCTTCTCTCTTTTTCTCTTTCCCCCTCTTCCTGTACTCCTTCTTCTCTCTTTTCTCTTTCTGTCCCCTCTCTCTTTTCTTCTTGTGTTGTTTTTTATTTTTTTCATGTTCAGCTTTAGTAACAAATGAACATCTGTCAGTTTTATAAACTGCAACAATAATTGTTTAAGACAATCAATTTTGGATAACCAATCAACTACAGCAGAATAAACCAAGATTTTTAAATTCCATTTTCCTTTATACATTCTGCTTCCTTTTGTTTGTTATATGTTTATTTTTAAAATATAATTTTAATTTAATGTGATGACATAAGCACAGTTAGGCTGCAGTGTAATATATGAAGAAATATATTGTTCTCCAAATAGTAAGATTTCATGGAAAGATTGTTTGGTGGCTTTGTTAACAATAAAGACTTTTTGAGGATATAGTGTAATTTTTTTTCATTGCATTAATATAACCAAATATATGCCTATCTATCTTATCTTTGTCTTTAACCAAATGATTAGATTTGGAATACATGATTGTTAACTGGATTTGATATAAAGTTAACATAGCATTATCTGTTACCTGCATGCTTCTGGGTACATTTTAAGAAGATTTTAACTTTTAAGATGAATCTATGTTGTTTGAATTTTGACTACCTTTTGTGAGGCATATTGGCTACCTCTTCATAGCAGTTAAGATCTTCCAAAGCCTTATAATTAAAAGGTCTTATAAACAATTCCTCTTTTGAATTGCTGTCATACTTGGTTAACAGATCCCAGGAATAATGTACATTTTCTAACTTTCTTCTGCACTTTGTACATCTGGCCTCTATTGCCTTTCAAGGTGAAGATGAAACTATGTCTTTAGAAGATTTCTCTTTGATTCTGTGATAGCATTCCTTCATATCTTGTATTAATTTTATGTATATGTCAACAGTGGTTGGTCTTTAAAAAAAATAAACCAAAAGAATAAGTAAGATGTCTAAATGTTTTTAATATTGCTGTCAGTGTAGTAGTCTACCTGTAAATGAAATGTCTTCTTTTCCCCGTGTATTAATTTGATTGATTGACTGACTGATAGATTTACAAATGTGTTTCCAAGTCCATTACAAACCTCAATATGGCTTGAACTATGCCATGATAGCAGTGAATTTAATTATACCTCAAGTCTGATAGGCATGTCAGAAATTTTGGTGGATGTCTTTTGTTGATTTACTGGAAAAGCTATTCAGTTAGGAACCTATGAGCTGGATCCTATGTTACCTATAGAAGCTTGCAGATAATACCTATACGCCAACAGACTGAAGTAGTCTGTTAAAACTGCTGTGAATCAGGTGATGTGGAAGCAAGTTCACTGTTCCAAGGAGCACTCTGCATAATGAAATTCCTGGGCTGACTGCACAATAAGTGCTTTGCTTCATCACAGTCATGCTTTCTTACATCATTACAGTTAAATTTCCAGGCACCAAAACCTACATTGACCCTGAAACCTATGAGGACCCAAATAGAGCTGTCCATCAATTCGCCAAGGAGCTAGATGCCTCCTGTATTAAAATTGAGCGTGTGATTGGTGCAGGTAAGGCTGTTGTAGCTTCCTTGTTCAGCTGTTCCATTTAGCCAAAATTGAAAGTCATACATCATAATGACAGGCAAATAATTATACTTCAAGTATAGAACTTTTGCATTTACCTGAGCTGTTGGAAGCAATGACGCTGTACTTATTTATAAAATCTTAAGAGAAAAAAAGTGGAAAAGAAGCATGTGGCACAGAGAATCTATATACATGTAGTTTTCTGTTGGGTTTTTAAGATATTGTTCTATCATGAGCTATTTCATAATAGTTTTGACCTATTGTTGAGAAACAACTTAGTAAAAAGTATAAGTCATAATTTTCCTGAATTTTGGTGGAATATACATTTCCACTTATAATCTTCTTACAAAACTTTTATTTTCGTCTTTTTTCTTGTGTTTGTAATTATTAGCTATTATACTATTCAAATTCCTTTAGAAAATTAATCTACAAGAATTGCTTAAAGAGCATATTCTATTCTATATATGTTCAAGATAATTATACATTTTTTTTGTATCCCAGTCCCTTAAATCTATCAAAAACAGTACACATAAAGTCCACATTTTTAAATCATTAATAAATATTTGCTTCTCATAGTTTTTAAGCATTAGGAATGTTGAGAATCTGCTAATGTTCCCTCATGCTATAGTAGGCTGTGTAGATTATATAGCATACTTCAGATCTAAATGTTTACTCAGAAAAGGGTTGATAATTGAATTGAAAAGCAGTAGCCTTTGTAACAGATTGTTTAGAAAAGCTTAACTTCTATGAATGAGCTGAAATGTATCTTTAATTTCATTTTGCCACTCTTTTCATAAACTATTTCATTTTGTATGAGAAGTAGAATCACCCATCCATAGTAATGCATTCATTTTAACTTGCAATTTTTTTCTTAATTAAAAAGTATCTTTAAAGAATATAATTCATTTACTTTGAGAAAGGAAATGTCTCAGAATGAAAATACAACTGGGTATTCTGTTATTTCAGGAGAATTTGGAGAAGTCTGCAGTGGTCGTCTGAAACTTCCAGGGAAAAGAGATGTAGCAGTAGCCATAAAAACCCTGAAAGTTGGTTACACAGAAAAACAAAGGAGAGACTTTTTATGTGAAGCAAGCATCATGGGGCAGTTTGACCACCCAAATGTTGTCCATTTGGAAGGAGTTGTTACAAGAGGTAGATATTGGTTGTATTTTTCAGTAATTGAATGGACTGAGTGTCAGAAATTACTATTACTGTGTTCACAATTAAAAAAATCATATCAAGAACATTTTATATATTCTAAGTAAGCATTTTTCCCTTGGTATGTTACTAATTAAAACAATTATTCTTTTATGCTACTACCTCAGAAACAATTGGGGAAAATGAATATAGGGTTTAAGTTGGAGAATAAATCTTATAAATACATGGAACAAGTGAGAAATATTTTTATTCAGGTTCAAAAGCATAAAAGTGAGAGTCTAGTCTTTACATTTTGTATAAAATATCATTTTCTTTGCATTTCATTCACAAGACAGAAGTCTAAAGTACATGTTGACTTTTATTCGTATGGTTTAATTTTGTGAATCACAACCACTTTCCAAGCAGACACTGAATGACTTTTTTAAGCTTAGTAGAAGCACTGAAAACGCTAAAAACACTCACACTACCCATTCAGTCTCTTAACAGAGAATCATGTGTTTTATTGGCAATGAAAGGGAGAATAATGAAAAATTTAGGTAATGGCTTTGAAATAGCATTTTTTTCCTTTTATGTATTTTTTGATATTAGGAAAACCAGTCATGATTGTAATAGAGTTCATGGAAAATGGAGCCCTAGATGCATTTCTCAGGGTAAGTACCCAAATTATTTTCCCATTCAAAATATATTATGCATGCTGCCAATAAAACTTTATGAACTTTTATCTATAATGTAAAGTGTGAACAATATAAACTATAAGAGGTCAGAATTGTCTTTGAAAATCATGTTAATAATCAGAATTTTATACTGGATTAAAATAGAATCTTTTGAACATTTACATAGTACAATGTTATTTTAAAAAGTGGCTTCCAATAATATTATTACTTAAAGTATGGAGAATACCTTTCAATTTTGTAATTTAAACATATGTTATGGAATAGTATATGCAACTCTAAATGAAATACAGAGGAAATATAGAGAAAACTGAAAAGTGAGATAATCAGTTGATTTTGGCTCTGTGATCCCAACTCTGTTCTGTAAAAATATTTCCATTGTATTGTTATCTGAAAACTGATCATAAAATGTACAATTATTTATATGGTTTTTAATTAATGGTCTTTGCTTTTTGTGATAAACCTTAAATTAATAGATGTGCATATTTTTACTCTCAGAGGTTTACTAAGAATATAAGCACATTGCCATTTTTCCAAAATGGCAAAAAGAAAACAATCTAACAAATAAGAGGTCAAGTTTATTTTACATGATCTAGAGTGACACATTCAACCAAGATTTATGAACACTCAGAGGATCTAGAGAAATTTTAATCCTTGCATCCTTATGATGGGCTCTTCAGAGCATCTCCTAGGCAGCTTGTCAACTCAAAGCAGCATCCTGCATGCAGCCTGCTTCTATTTAGTTGTAGAAATCTGTGGGTTACAAATATCTTAGGAACTAATTGCAAATGTTTCTCAAACTCATGTGCTGGGATGTTGTTGCAGGTATGTAATGTTTCTACTAGCAGCAAAACAATGAATGAAATAAAAACAAAAACAGTCTTTAAAATTTTTTTCTACTTCGTAGTGTTTTTTTTCATTTTCAATCAAATATTCTTTCCTTTCTTTTTGTTACTATTTGGAAAGAAACTTATAGTTTATGTGTGTTTATTTTTTAGAATATTTTTAGATTATATAATTTTTAGCATGGGGAAAACACATCTGTCAGAAGTAATATTTTTTATATTCCATTTTTGAAATTTGACTTAAAAATTAGGATATTCATTTTGATTTGTATAATCTCAAGATATTGTTAAATATAACAAATTAATATAAAAACTAAATAATTACCACCCCTCTATCTTATTTTATTTGGATATTAATTAAATCAGCATGTGTTATATTTTTTCACAAGTGTGTATGTTATACAGAAAATTATTGATCCCTCTCATTATACAACTGTAAACAAGAAGATAGATATCTTTCATGTTGACTTTTTTTCCTATTTTAAAGTACATTTCACTGGACCTTTTATTTTGTCTTTCTCCAGAAACATGATGGTCAATTTACCGTCATTCAGTTAGTAGGAATGCTGAGAGGAATTGCTGCTGGAATGAGATATTTGGCTGATATGGGATATGTTCACAGGGACCTTGCAGCTCGAAATATTCTTGTCAACAGCAATCTTGTTTGTAAAGTGTCAGATTTTGGCCTGTCCCGGGTTATAGAGGACGATCCAGAAGCTGTCTATACAACTACTGTAAGGAAAAATCTATTCCTGTGCTTTTTTCACATTTGTGAGATTTTCCTAATATGAAAACAGTGTTTGCTGCAAAACTAACCATAAGAAAGAGACAAACTGACATCTCAGCTTTATGTGGTAGTTAATTTTTTCTTTTGGAAAATTTATTGTTGTTATTATAATCTATGTTATAAGCTAAGAAGGAAAGTAGTAAGAGATAACACAACTTACCTTCTATTTGGATGTTCCTATCAATGGAGTATAATTGCTATGTGTAGTGGTACATGCCTATAATCCCAGCATCTTGGGAGGCTGAGGCGGGGCGGGGGGGCGGGTGGTGTTTCAAGGCCAGCCTTAGCAATGTAACCAGATCCTGTCTCAAACTTAAAAAGCAAAATAAAAAGGTCTAGGAATATAACTCTGTGGTAAAGCACCCTGAGTTTAATCCCTGTGTGTGTGTGTATGTATGTATGTATATGTGTGTATATATATTTATTTATTTGCATACAACAATTTCTAGTTACTATCTCATAGTTGAAGCAAAAATTTAAAAATATATTCATTTTGAATAAAGATTCCAAAAGAATATTGACTATGCTAACTTATATGTTTTGTGATATTAGTAAAAAAGCCGGCACGATGGCGCATGTCTGTAATCCTAGCAGCTCAGGAGGCTAAGGCAGGAGGATTACAAGTTCAAAGCCCGCTTCAGCAAATTTTCCAGGCCCTAAGCAACACAGTGAGACCCTGTATCTAAAATAAAATACAGTAAAAAAGGGCTGGGGATGTGGCTCAGTGGTTCAGTGCCCCTGGGTTCAGTTCCCAGTACCAAAAAAAAAAAAAAGATAGAGGGAAAAAAAAAGGGAAATATGTAAGGATTTATATAAATACTACATATTTCACTTCATTTTATTAGTGATACAAATAATTTGTAATTGTCTTTTCATTGAACTCTTTTCCCAGAGACTACACAGACCATTAAGTACAGTTGCCTTAAAAATGAAAACTTGGAATGAATGTCTAACATAAAGATTAGTGACTTTAAATACAAATAGATTCAAAATAATTAAAACTGATGCTGCTAAACTTTTAACCAATATACAAATATTTAACAGTAGCTTTGGGCATGACCATAAATTATTTATAAATTATTATACATATTTAAAATGTTAACTTCTTTTTATAACAGGGTGGAAAAATTCCAGTAAGGTGGACAGCACCTGAAGCCATCCAGTATCGAAAATTCACATCAGCCAGTGATGTCTGGAGCTATGGAATAGTCATGTGGGAAGTTATGTCTTATGGAGAAAGACCTTACTGGGACATGTCAAATCAAGATGTAGGTGCTATACTATATAAACAGACAAGATGATTCAGTACATTAGTAACATTATTGTTGGAACACGTGGGTAATGGTTGATTAAGAACTTCTTACAGAATTATAAAAATATAGTTATTTTGTTTTCCACAAATATGACCACAATAATTTCATAAATTAGCAGTTCTATGAATTTTGTTTTTTGGGGGGAAAGAATTCCATTGTTTCTTTTATTTCAATTCTATTTGCTCAATAGAAATCTATAAAGGGTACTTCTTTGTTAACAAAGATAGTAATGCTGTGCTTGGGGAGCTGCAGTGGAGCAGTCACGTAAGAAAAAAATCATTTGAGGAGAGGAGGGGAAGGAAGGCTGTGTTTCATTTTGTCTTTGAAGCTTATCATTGGGATTCTTTTAATGTTCTGAAAAAAAAGCTTTTAAAGTTATCACACACTGGTTCAATTAATAGTTTCATGATACAATGTAGATTTTTATGATCAATAATGGTGTTGACATTTTAGAATGTCATCACAATGGCAATATCCATGGAAATTTCCTTTTAAAAATTGTGACTTATTCAGTGTGGATACCCTGTTACCAAGAGGGCATGCTAATATATATGTGTTTATCCTTTGAGAAAAGAAGTTGTTGACCTCCCATGGGGCTTACATATCACACCAAGATATCATTTATAATTTATAAAATGATGTAGCATATGTACAAATAAATATTTTGTTTTATTAGGTTGGACTTTATAAAATTGTCATTTTTGTAGGCCAAGAACATTCAAATATTAGTAGATTCAATGGAATTCAAAATATTGAAAATGTGAGCAAATTTAGAGAAATGTGGAACAAATATAAAAGTAGGAATGTTCCCCGGAATGAACTAAAAATCTGGTGGCGACCTTGTTCATGGGAAATATGAGAATTGTCTGTCTGAAGGAACACATTGAGAAGTCTAGAATCAAAGGTTTAAAGAGGTATAGGGAGACCAATGAAATTTACTCATTTTCCTATTCCAAATATGCAGTTCTCTGGTGGAAATTAGAAAGAACATGATGTCTGAGTAGATTGATGAAAGGATTCCTTGAAGGAGTTTGGGAATGATACAGGGCAAGTTCTTGGAGACTAGTAAAAAATAAGAAGCACTTAAGGGAAATGGCATTGCCATTTAGCAAATGGGCAATTAGCAAATTGGTGGTGTTAACTCTTATAGGATCATAAATATGGACAGCTATCAAGCTGAGTACAGCTAAAATCATTTTTTAAAAACAGGTCATTAAAATATCATATTAAATTGATACATTGTTATAGTTTTAGAATTGCTTTTATTAATTTATTATGGATCTTAAAACTTATTTTTAGACAATAAAGTAAGGCTGTCCCTGTGTTGTCAGATAGGGGATTTTTGGTGGGGTTTCCTCCAATATCTGCATTAGATTTTAATTATTTAAATCTTTTGATATTTTGAATTGATTAATGACATGAAAGTTTGTCTTCTTTTGTTTTTGTTTTTGTGTTTCAAAGATAAAAGTCTAAATAATGAGTCCACTTGGCAGAAGCAAAGTTGTTAATATTTGACAGGTCTCAGTGTCAAAGATATCATGGACTGTCAAAATGTGGGCAAACAAATCCTTGGGGCAGAGAAAGAGAAATATTTACATTCCCCAGACACTCCATAGAGTTTCATTTCTTTTGACACTTTCCTTCTATACTAGACTCAAACATAAAAGGACTGACAGGAATATGAGATGTCTTAAATCCAAAGTTCACTTAACTTCTAAAAATAAATAATGGAAACAGTTAAGAGGTAGTAAATATCTCTAATTTGAATTATTTTCATTCCCTAGGTATTATTTTGTTGTTTTCCTTGAAAGCAAACATCATAAGTATAGAATTTTTATACCAAGATTTAATAAATATTTTATTGGTCAAATGAAATTGTAGTGAAGTTTAATTCTATCCTGATTATTTAGCACCATCCTTTCTTCTTTTCTTTTCTTTTTTTTATTTTGAAAGTCTGAATTCAATTTATACACAGTTTTATTTAGTAGTAAGAGATTATCACATAGTTCAGGTTATATAGTGAAACTGATATTAATTTTCTCATTGAATAATATTCATTATGTCATAATTACATTGTTAAAGTACTTTTTGAACAGCTGTAAGTTAATTTTCAATATGCAAATGGATAAAAAGTGGACAATTTGAAATAATTCTGGGATAAAATTTTCTAAAGAAGTATTTTTTTACTTGGAGCTTCTGGTAAGAATTCATGGAGAGAGTGAAGATATCTGTGAACTCCATGGTATGTGCGTAGAAGCACCCTTGTGTATGAATGTATTGTATTTTTATGGGAGGAGGCGAAGTTTGCCTGAATCAGATTTTCAGATATGTTCTGAGGGAGGGAAATATTTATATATGTACATATTAGCCCGATATATTTACATACACACACAGACGCACATACACACATATACACATTAGCCTAGATGGATTTATTGAATGAACCAATTTACTTTGCACTGTTAAAATTTAGTTCCTAGGTATTGTCAAGGATTCTAAAGAACTATCAAATTTTAAATGCCTTGCATTTTAAAAGATTTTTCTTAAGCCACTGTGAATACCAGATGCAAACAGATTGTTGTATTTCCAAATCCCCAAGCTTAATGCTGAGTAAGATGAGGTTTCTAAATTCACAAATAGGAATAAATAGGAAGAGAGTGGTATAGAAGTGAGTCAGAGTGTTAATAGGTAACCCTGGACAGCCCAGTGAATGTATGACCAGTCCCACATCCAAGCAGATTATCACTTGATTAACACCTGAATGAACCCTCATTTTTATTTTCACATGCCTATAACTCTCTTGAGTTTTAACTGAGGAGGAAACAGTTGAATTTAGATACTTACCAATAAATTCAAGAGGTTAAACTTTCCAAATAAATTTCTCACTTTCATGCTTTAGAAAAATCTGCAGATAGTTAGTTTTTTTCTATTAATGCCCTTTCAAAGAGAATGTTTTATATATTTAAATATGTTCAAGCAAAATAAATATTGGGAAATTGAAAATACCACCTTGGCTTTGACAGCAGCTTTTAATTGAATTAATATCTTGAATAATCCAAATAAAATTTTTACTTTGAATTTAAGAAATTTTGAGATTATATAGATTTTCATTTTGTTTACAGTATACAATCTTTTATTTTTCTTACTTTAAGATAGAATGATCAGTTGTTAATTTGATTGGTAGGTACTCATTAGAATCAAAAATTTAAGCTCCCATAAATACATGCCACATAAAGATTATTACTTGAAGACATCCATTCAAATTCACTTAAGACCTTTGAAAATATAAGGATACTTGTAACTAAATTTAGTCTTAGCCGAACTGTGAGCCCTGAATTTTTCCTTTTAAAAATAATCATGGAGGTATGGTAGTGCATACCTGTAATCCCAACAACCAAGTTGGGAAATCGGAAGTTCCAGGCCAGTCTCAGCAACTTAGCAAGGCCCTACACAAAGTAGGGAGACCTTGTCTTAAAATAAAAAAAAAATAAACAAGGCTGGTGATTTAGCTCAGTGGGAAAGCACCCTTGGGTTCAATCCCCAGGATCTATCTCTCTCTCTCTCTCTCTCTCTCTCTCTCTCTCTCTCTCTCTCTCTCTCTCTCTCTCTCACACACACACACACACACACACCAAAAAAATGTAGTTGATTTATGACTTTGTACTTTTACCATATTATAATAGAAACAAAAATGTGATTTTTTTTAGTAAAACTTTGACATAATACCATAAGTGGAGTCCAACATATTTAATTGAATTAAATGTGTGTTGTGTATTATTGTTAGGTTAATGAAATGAAAGTGAGCATTAAACAAAGGACAGAAGCCAATCACAAAATCCCCATTTTCAGTTATTATAGGCCTAATGTCATGGGGTCTCTCTATGCTCTTTTTTTCTTTTTGTCTTAATTACAGTGGTCCTACTGTGATAATATGGAAACACTTCTCAGCAAGTAACTTTTGATTTATTTCTAAATATTTGTTGACAGTATATGCCAAAGGAATGATTCCTGTTGTGTCCCAGAGGTATTTTTAGAAAATGCCACTTACACTTACCACTTCCCATTCCTCTGGGAAATATCTAGTTATAGAATTGCTCATGAATGTTTTTCTTTCACTTTTATTAGAACAGTAAAGGCAAATCTGCACACATATCCAAGGGGTTTCTTGGTAATTTCACAAAAAAGATATTTTAAATGAATTCAGTGAATAATCATATAATCCTCCAAGTGGAGATTTTGCCATTTTACCTGCATGCTTTGTTTCCCAGAATATTGCAGAAAGTTAAATTTTCTTTTCCTAATTGGAAATAAAGAGCAGTTCATAACCGCATGGGCTCTGTTCAGCCAACATATATCTAATTCTGTCTTCTTTACTAGCAGCTATGTGATATTGGCCCTTTCTTTTATTTTCATGTGCCACAGATTCTTTCTTTCTAGAATTATTATAATAATCAAACTTATCTAACAAGGCTTCTGTAAAGATAAAATGAGATAATTCCAGGTTAAAACCACACCAGGCTTCTAATAAGCATTTCATAGATATTTACTCAGATTGTTTGTTGTGTCTTTAACAGATAAGTTGTTCTGGTAGACTAACCTAAAAACTGCCTGACATCCAGGTCCAGTTTGTGACCCTATTGGCTAGTTTGTCCAAAGGGTATGCCTTAGATTATGCCAGACTATTTTAAAAGCCACAGTAGAATCCCAGCAAGTATCTCTAATGCTCTTCTGATTGGGGGACATGATTATCAATGGGAGCATTAGGATCCCAAATTCCAGAACATCTCTTTAAGTTTATACTCTTCTAGTATCCTTTAAAAAAATTGTATAGCATTATGTCCTTGAACGTAGAAAGCAATATTGTTTTATGTTAAGATCATTGCTGTTTCTTTATTATATCAATGGGTTGTCTCAAATTTCTATAAAGAAATTGGATACCTGAAGAGGTTAATTAACTCTTTCATTCTTGTAAGAGTCATTTGATGCTACTATACTTTTTGTTCCTTGGTGCAAAGACTTAAGAATGCATTATGTGCAAAGCCCTCAAGAATTCTAAATGTTGTCACAAAAAATTGACACCGTAGAGAAGAATATGTAGGAGAACCATGAATATTTGGTTTTACATTTTAAAGATTTTTTAGAGGGAAAGATCATTTCACTTGTATTATTTATTTAAGGACACCTGAAGAAGCTACAATCAGGGAAACAGATTGGGAGGTGGTGGAAAATAATGACTGAACTGATATTCTGAGTTTTAGAATGAAGTTCTGCAAATCAGAAAGAGACTGCATATGCTCAAATACAAGCAAATCAAATAAAAGGAAAGACACTCTTCCTAATGAAAAAAAATACCTCCCTAATTGATTATTATGTGTTCATTTTGAATGTAAAGTTTTACAAGTTATTATTTTATTTCTAAATGACTGGAACCACTATTTAAATCATTTAACCCAGCTTTCTAGTTATATATTTCCTTTTATCTAAATAGTTTTATATACAGCACTTTTGAATCCAGGTACACTGTTGTTAGAGGAATGTTATTCAAAACCACATGAAGTTCTTTGCATTAGATCAGATTCTTAAATATAGTTCCTCCTATACTTATATATTTGTGATCATTTAGAGTTATCATTTATGTGTATTTGCCTTACATAGGGATATTTTAAAGGAATATTTACAGTACTATGCAAAGTTTGTAATTTGGGGATCATAACTAGGAGAAATTTTTAAATTCTATTGTATGAAATTTATCAGCACTCAGTATCATTGTTAGTTCAGTTCACTTAAAGCTAAGGTAAATTCTCCACAATTGTTCAAAATAAAATCCCTTATGCCCTATAATTTGAAATTTTGTGAAGATAACTGTGGGACACTGATTATTACCCTCTGCAGGCAATGAAAATATTTTCCTTACATTTAGTATATATTTTATTTAGGAAGTAGAATCATCAGAAGGTGTTAACTAGTTGGCTGTACATGTAAGGGAAAGGAAGATAATTCTCAGCATTTTGACTGGAATAACTTGAGAGTGTTGATAATTGAAATAGGAAAAGATTGAATGGAAGGTGATAAATTTAATTTTAAACTTAAGAGTGAAAAGGACCTGTGAAAAATGAAGTTGTCTTACATAACAGTGGAAAGATAACCTAGTCACTAGGAGAGAGTTTGGGCTAAGATGTGGGATTACTTTTTAAAGATTATGATAATTAGGGGTATCTACTTATCTTTTATACTTTATCAATTTATGAACAGAGAGATTTCATAAGTTCAAATAGAAACTTACTTTTTTCACATACATAAAAGATTTTCTCCAAAAATGATTAAAGCCGGCTATGTCATTCATTAAATCCTACAATTATTTACATTTTAATATGCTATTTTATGTAAACATACATTTCATGGATATGTTTCCCTAAATTTATTAAGGTCATTAGCATTTTTTAAAACCATCTTTTTATGTCTACATTTTGGCCTTAATTTCTTCTAAAAGATACATTTTTTTTTTCAGAAAGTAATTTTTTTTCCTACATTTCTACTGCTATTATAGAATTGTCAAAGGATTTGTTATTTCCCCTGGAATAATATTTTAGTATTTTATAAGCCCTTTCTATTTGTGTTATTTTCTTATTGTGTTCTTTCCCAGTTTTGATTAAACTCTTTCTCCACCCACTCTCCTCTGCCACTGACCTTGGAGTTGGGAAGGGATGCGATCACCAGTGCAGACTGGCTCTGGCACTTCACTAAGCTTCATATTTTTAAAAAGAATAGCATGCTTAATAATATTTTCTGCCATAGTAATTCACATATTTTGGTATCTTTTTTGAAAGTATCATTTACACCCATCAAAAATGAATCTTTCGGATTCACACTGAGTAACTCAGAATTTCCTTTTCCAGCTTGCAGAATTTTTTAATTTGTAGGAAAATGTGTACATTCACAATGTTATCCAAGTAAAATAGTTCCATAACATGTTCCCTTTTGAAAACCTCTGGGATAACATTAAAAATATTTCCATCTCTTGCACCCTGGGTAAACTTAATTGCTGCTCCCTATTGCTGAATTAACTAGGAAATGTCATCATACCCTGCCCTTCACAAACTCCTTAATAACAGGATTAATATTCGTGCATGTTTTGGAAAAAAGTAAGTCAGTCTTTTTCAAAGCAGTGTGCATCACTCTTATCAGGATAAACCATTTTGCCTACCAAGCAACTTATTTGATTATAATTGAACCTCAGTCAGTAATATATTTAATGTCCTTTTGGCTATTAGGTTATAAAAGCAATAGAAGAAGGTTATCGCCTACCAGCACCCATGGACTGCCCAGCTGGTCTTCACCAGCTAATGCTGGATTGTTGGCAAAAGGAGCGTGCTGAAAGGCCAAAGTTTGAGCAGATAGTTGGAATTCTAGACAAAATGATTCGAAACCCAAACAGTCTGAAAACACAACTGGGAACTTGTAGTAGGTAAGAAATACCTAAGGAAATGAATCTGTATGAAATTCAAATATTCAAATAAACCATTTGCCTCCTCAATCCTGCCCCAATAGCAGATTATTTTTTTATTGACATATAAATACATATTAAATGTATTACCGAGTACTTTTTTCTTTTCAAATGGTTTTCCTTCGATACTATTAAAGAGAATCTATTGTTTTTGTCTTAAAAGTTATGATATCACTAGCTGTGTCTCTTAGAAAACTCTTTGTGAAAAAGCAGCATTTTATATTTTCAGACCAATATTATAATTACACGTTTTTATTTCTTTTGCAGTAACTTTTAGTTATACGAATGTTGCTTATTTTATTATCTTGCTTTCAGTTATTTAATAAAATGGTTCTGTGAAGTTAAAATTTATGAAAGTAATTTGACACATGATTTAAGAGGTATACAATTAAAAGGAGTCAGTTAATTGTTGGCTTGATGCATTCTAACACTTATTAGCAGTTACTCAGCTTCAGCTGCCAGGTAAACCTGATGTTTTGGTCTGCATTATAGGAAGTTGGGCGCCTGTGGAGGCATTGTAGCTCCCAAAGTGCTCACAAGTGTGCACCCGTGCAGCAGATATCCTAGTCGTGATGGCACCCTTGTGGCTAGAACAAGTTCCAACAGGCAAATCTGCTTCTTTACTTATGGCTACTTTTGAAGAAACAAATGAACAATTATTTACTAATTCCAAATACTGCAAACTATACTTAGTGTTTTTGATACTGAGGAATGAACCCAGAGGCGTTTTACCATTGAGCCACATCCCCAGCCCTTTTTATTTTTTTTCTTTTGTGACAGGGTATCACTAAGTTACTTAGGGCCTTGCTAAGTTGCTGATGATGGCCTCAATGGTCTTCCTGCCTCAGCCTCCCAAGTTGCTGGGATTACAGTTGTGCACCAACACGCCCAGCTGTAAGCTGTATTTTTAAGAACACAAAAAAGACACATCATCTAAGTAAAATTTAAATTGAGAAATTTGTAATTGCTGGGTAACCTGTATGTTTTAGGTTTTTATTATCATATCTGATTGTTATTATATACATCAATTAAAATATCTAACTTTATTCCTTCTTCTCTTGTTCTTGCACAGGTTAAGGCATTCTTTACTTTGGTAATTTATGAGAATATTTGTTTTTCTGTTTTGTTTTCTTGTTTTTTCTTCTTCTTTTTCTTATCTAGGCCAATAAGCCCTCTTCTGGATCAAAACACTCCTGACTTCACTACCTTCTGTTCAGTTGGAGAATGGCTACAGGCTATTAAGATGGAAAGATACAAAGATAACTTCACAGCAGCCGGTTACAATTCCCTTGAATCAGTGGCCAGGATGACTATTGAGTAAGTTCAAATTTTTTTTTAAAACTGTATTTAAGAATTGATTAGGTACAATACACTTTCTACATTAGGTTATCTTCTTTATGTGAAATCAGATGTGAATCACAAAATCAGGGGGGAAAAAACACCTTTCTTTAAAAATGCTTACTATATAATAGGTCTTTATCTTTTTAACTCTTGCTGTAACCATCTTATTAAGTTGATAGTTACATATTCATGTTACAAATGATGAAGGCACAGCTCAGAAATTTAATATATCTTCTGAGTTACTTCAACAAATAAAGGACAACTATTATGGCTCCATAGCCAATGTTCTTGTACACCACCTACTGAGGCTTCCTTTCTCATTAACCAGGGAATCGTTTAAATTTCCACTTAGATTTCTTGTGCCATGTTGTATCAGACATTAAAAAATTCAAAATTTCATGCCCAATGCCAATATGTTAGAATGTAAAAGGTGATTATTTTCTGAAAAGGTGAAAGGAAACTTAATTCAATTAACTATAGCTGAGATTTTAACTTTTTGGAAAACGTGAGATTGATTCAATTTTTTTTAACTGCAAAATGACCTAAAAAACAACTTTTGTAATTACTATGAACTTGAAGCTAATTGAACTAAGTTTTCAGTTCTGGCTACATCACATGTGGTCTTATATTTACTATTTCTGAACCTCAGTTTCCCTCAGTTTTACAGGTGATGCAGTTCCTCTCAGTCAATATGTTTGAAAATGAGATATAATGGTCAAAATTCTATTCATGGGATCCTGTTTCTGTACTGCCATGAGAAGGGTTGCAGATTCTCAGATTAGAAAATGACCAGCAATCAAATATTCTTTCTGGTATATTTCACAAAATGGCATGTACATGGATTTAAGAATGTGTACATGATCGTGCTACATTTTCTTCTAACCACCCTATGGCTAGACTTGATATAAGCACATTTGCATACATTAAGTTATCGATGCCCCTGAAAAACTATGCATCTCAAAGCCACTGCTATAAATATTTAAGTATTATACTATTGCAATATTTTAACTGTATATATATATATATATATATATATATATATATATATGCTTAACCTTTCTAACTATTGAGAAAGACAAAAATATATATAAATAGTTAACTTATTTCAAATTTGAGCTATTATACAGTTGTAGCATTTAATGATAGTATTATACTATGTTTTTAAATATTTTCTAACACATAATCAAATAACTGAAATAAACATACAACCAATAAGTATACTCAGAATTAACCACAATGATAATTATTAAATGCCTTATAAAATTTTGTGTGAACATTGATGCTTCCTCATATTTAAACTAGGTCCCAGAAGTGTATCCATTCATACTATTTTATTTTTTCCAACTAAAAATTTCAAACCCAATTAGGTTAAAAAGTTCAATATTTCAAATAACATTTCTTAACCATATACATTTCTTAATCCTATACATTAATAATAATTTTTTTTAATTTTAATAATTTCTCATATAAATTTTCATATCTGTTCAAAAATAGCTACCATAACAAATTGAGACCCTGAATAGCTAGGTTTTTACTAAGGAGAATGTTGATGCACATTACCAATGTGATCCACTGCAGAATATGATCATAATACCCCACAGCAGCAAGTTAAAATGTTGGCCTAAGACGAATAGGTTATTTAAACAGTTGATCACAGTTTATAACCTTATAAACTCTTTGCAAGGTACATAATAAAAAAAGCATTTGTCTCTTTCAGGGATGTGATGAGTTTAGGGATCACACTGGTTGGCCATCAAAAGAAAATCATGAGCAGCATTCAGACTATGAGAGCACAAATGCTACATTTACATGGAACTGGCATTCAAGTGTGATAAGAAGTTCTCCCTATGTGGGAGTTTACAGACTGCAAGAGAACAGTACTGGCCTTCAGTATATACATAGAATGCTGCTAGAAGATGATTGATGGACTGGGTCCTTCCTACAGTGAAGAGAAGATTTAAGAAGCACCTATAGAACTTGAACTCCTAAGTGCCACCAGAATATATAAAAAGGGAATTTAGGATCCACCACTGGTGGCCAGGAAAACAGCAGTGACAATAAACAAAGTACTACCTGAAAAACATCCAAACACCTTGAGCTCTCTAACCTCCTTTTTATCTTATAGACTTTTTAAAATGTACATAAAGAATTTAAGAAAGAATATATTTGTCAAATAAAATCATGATCTTATTGTTAAAATCAATGAAATATTTTCCTTAAATATGTGATTTCAGACTTATTCCTTTTTAAAATCATTTGTGTTTATTCTTCACAAGGACTTTGTTTTAGAAAGTTGTTTATAGCTTTGGATCTTTTTAGTGTGAAATCTATGACACATTACTACACTGGGTACCTTTGAAAGAATATCAAATTAAAAAGAAAAAACATAGCATGATTGAAGTTATATCTTTGTCACAACATTGGTATCCTTTATGTGCCATTTTATTCTGTTTAATCAGTACTGTTTTGATATTATTTGCTGATTGGCAGGTAGTCCAGAAAAATGCAAGTTGCCAAGAGCTCTGATATTTTTTAAAAGAAGTTTTTTTGTAAAAATCAGACAACACACTAACTTTTCAATGAAATAAAAAAGCAATAATGATCCATAAATACTATAAGGCACTTTTAACAGATTGTTTATAGAGTGATTTTACTAGACAGAATTTAATAAAAGTAACTCAAATTTTAGGTTTGTGTCTATATAAAACAAAAGATGAGGCACTTCATCTAAAGAAGGTTGGTGAAGCCAAGTCTCTGAAAGCAAGAACTATCCAGTGTTATCTAAAATTTAATCTGAGCACATCAAGATTTTTTCAATCTTGTGACATTAGGAAATTTAGGAGAAGTAGTCGACGTCTATTTTATATTCTTTTCTGTTGAATGCAGTCCAAACATGAAAGGAAAGAATTAAGTTTTATATTAGAACTCTGAAGCATGATAAAGGGGGCAGTTCACAATTTTCACTGTTCAAAAACAAATTTGCTGCATAGAATATCACCACTGCAAGTTAAAAACAAAACAAAAAGTCTTTTATTTGTGGACACTGATGCAAGAAACATGTTAAATGAAAGAACTCTTTTTACCCAAGAAGGAAGAGGTGAAGGATCTGGCTAAAAAGAAAAAAAAAACTTTATTTATTAAACCATATTATTTGATTACTGTGTTAGAATTTCATAAGCAATAATTAAACGTGTCTTTATAGATATTTCAGGAATGTATACATATTGTGAGTAATGCTTTCAAAAGTTATGAAAATCATGAACTACCCCAGAATTGAACTGTTGTACTTCCAAAGAAAATTGGGCTGTTTATAATGATTTTAATAGAGAAAGATCCCAGGGATCGGTCATAATTGGTCTTGTTTGATAATGTGGACATCCACAAACAAACAAACAACAGAAACAAAATCTGTAAATGTTCCTTTGTAAAACTTGTAAATTTTATTTATACTGTCTTGTTTTGTACACACATTTCTCTGTAGTGGGCTCTGAATACATTGAAAATGCACTATATTTTTCTATTTTACTTGCAGAGCATCACAAAAGAACAGGTATTTTCAGTGCTACATAATGTGTTTTCCCACATTTAGGACCAAAGATGGCTATAGAAAAACTCAAATGGATTGCTTCCCAAACCCCTCCCCACCCTTTTTTTTTTTCTTTTAGGTCACTGTACAGTGTTATTTGATATTTTAATTTATTTTTTGGATTGACTAGAAAAATCATTTTAATTTCACTAAAATGTTTTTTGTCCCTAAGGAAAAGTAATCTGTAAAAATAATTTTAATTAGCATAATACAGTCACCTAGATACTTCCATTTGTAATCTTTGTAATAGACTGTAAATATATTTTTGGAACTATAACACAATGTGCTTGAGGGTTATTTTTCAGTGTCTGCAGTGTATACAAGTGTTTATACTAAGTACAGCACTTTACAATTCTAATCAGTAGCATTGGCCTTTGTGAGAATGAGTGAGAGTTTGAGTGAGTGTTCTTAATTCCGTTTGGATTCTAGACTCACTAATAATGAAGTTCTTTTCTTGTTCATAGCTTAAGGTGCTTATTTTTTCTATTAAAATTAAATTAACAAAAAGCCATTCTAGAAATAGAAGACATAGTATGGTACACGCAAACGGTGTCTTTCCTGCTTTTTTCTAGCACTAGATTTATAGTTGAGTAGTCTTTCTTGAGTAGAAGGGCAGAATAAAAGTTTTTTTGAGTTTTTTTTTCAAAAATAACTTTTTTCTTCAGCAATATACCTCATCTGCCTTAAATTTTTTACAGCTCTTTACAGGGAAAGGGGAGAAGGGATGGGAAAGACACACAGCACAATAGGAAGTGTATGATTACATCACTCTCTCTCGTTTGTAGGTTTCTTTTCTCAATTGACATTATGATTTTGAAGTACATGTATGTGAAACAAATATTAGGAGAAAAAGAATTAACATTGTAATGCTGATTGTAATACTCTCTTCCAGAAAGAGACGAAATGGTATAATGATGAGAATGTACAACTTGCACCTTGAAGTCTTTTTTGATAAATTAGTGCTCAGGGGAGGAAAAGTAAAGAAAGCAAAAGTCAAAAATAGAATTCCAAAATTAAAAATGCAAAAGGAAATGGCCTCCTTGATTTAATAGAGCCACCTTTTATAGAATGCTGTTTTCACACTTGGTCTGTGTTTTGCATTCAGTACTGAAATAAAAGTAACTTTTATTACATCTGAATCTAACATTGTCTCAGCAATTGATCTGGGCCTTGTTTACTAGAACTGGTGGTTTATGCTTGTCAGAGCACTATTAGTTGAATCATATTGTATACTTATGTAATCTACATTAGCTAGTACTATTTAGGACTATATTTTAATTGCTCCTCTTATCCGTGTTTTTAAGACAATTACAATGGTGTAATTCACCTCTCTTTTTTTATTTAGGTAATGCTGATATTCTCCCTTTTGTTTCCTGAGTAGCCTAGAACTGTGCTACTCACTGATGTGCATGTTCAAATAAATTACTAATGTGTATTTTTTTGCTATATGTGGAGAAATCATGGGGAACTCGGGGCAAGATGTGCTTTTTGTTGGTTGAATTTGTCCCTCCTTGCCTAAGAATTACTACAGGGGTCATCCTTTTATAAGAACAAACTGCTTTTGAACAGTGTCTTCAATGTATCAAGCACAAATAACTCTTTCTTCAACACGAATCATAAGTCTCTTTTTACCAGCTTAAAATAATAAACGAGTCTATTAGACGATGTAAAGAAAATCCTGTCTCCAGTCATTGGTGGATTCCTTTATGTCCCTTATACATTCTTTATTACCTTTCACAATTTCATGAGAAGAGTTTTGTGGAAATATCTGCAGTTGCCCAATCAGAATATGAATAAAAATTAATATTCTTTGCTTCCTCTCATTCCCTTGCACAATAACTTCATTGCAGTTAATTATTATAGAGTAAGAAGATCATGTCTTTAAGAATCAGACTATTGAACATTTTTAGTGAAAACCATTTTTGTTGTTTATTCATGAAACTATTACTAATGAGAATTGTCCATGAGAAAGAAAATATTTTGTCATTACACCCTGAGAGCTTTTTCCAACATTTGATATAATACAGCAACCTGGAGCATTTTTGCATTGAGGACATTGGATGATGCAAGCATGGAAAAAGTGATAAATCTGGTTGTCTAATTCAGTTGTTGAACATTGACACTAAGCTATCATTTCTACTTGCACTTGAAGAAAACTAAGCACTCTCTACAGTATCTCCGTCTTAAGCTCTACAAACTCTTAAACAAAATCAAACATGTTTCAAAAACTGGTAATAATAGTCACATGTCAGATGAGGTGCTATGACATTTGTGATGCAATATTCAGGTTAAGCTGTATAAATGATCAGATTATCTCTCCCTGAACCTCAGAAGTTGGAGATCAAAGTAGAAAAACTCTCTAAAACAGAGCTGCATTCCCAACCCTGGAGGATTTGAAATAGAGGCCTACTCCTACCCATTCCTGATATAAATGCTAATGAATAATTTGGTGATAAAAGATGCAAGATATGGATGAAGAAGAGAAAATAAGCAACATATAACACTTTTGTTAATTTCACCCAGTGAAAATTTATACTATAGACCAGTGAGGGCTGTGCTTGAAATTATCAACTAATCACTTAAAATACTAGTTTTACAAGTGGTACAAAAATACACTATCCTAACTTTTTTCCTCAAAAATTATAAAGCCATTCTTTAAAAATATATCAGTTCTATTACTACATAAAAATTATGTTTTAATATTTTTGGGAATCATCTAACATTTTTTTGTTAAAGCACTTATCTCTTCTTTTTATACTTTATCATTAGCTGCAATGAACACTGGGTATCAATTTTGAAGAAAGTTATTGAAAGGAAAACACATGGATCAAATTGGGGATCAAATTCCCACAAGCAAAAATTACAACTACCAATATTAACAAATAATAAAAGACAATGCTTGGTACCGAGCAAATTCCCAAGCTGCCCTAAAGGGAACCTGTTGGCCTTGCTTGGGTCGATGTTCCCACAGCGTCCTCTGCCTAGCTGCCCTCACTACTCTAATGCTTTTCAGCCCAGCTTGAAGAATCTGGACAGGAGAATAAAATATTTTAATAAGACTACTTCTGTGGATCTCATTAGAGTTAAGTGCTGTAAGGTTTTTTTTTTTTTTCCCCCAAGTTCAGTGATTAGATGTAATTAAATCTGTAATTAAACAATAAAAGACCTCTTCTGATTGACCTTGAGGTTCAAATAAATATAATTAATTGATCCAATTTAATTATTTAATTGGGAGTATTGCAAAGTTTAATAAGTAGCAATAAGTAAAGCTAGTCAAGTATTTTTGTAAGTGGGTAACAATAAAAGGGATTCTTTAGGTACAGAAAAGTAGTAGAGATTCTTGAATTTGACAATTTGGCAAAATAAAAAGTATTGTCTATCATAAGTCTTCATGATTAGCAAATAAAACTCCATTAGACATGACCTGCACTTGTATTTTGTTACTTCAAATATCCCCCTTTTCTACTACTAAAGATTATTTTTGTTTCCCTTTTATAATTCACTCTGTAATTAGATATATTTATAGATTTTGCATGTAACTAAAGTAACCACAGTATGCTTTCTGACGTGTGGTTAATCATAGCTCTTTCTTGAAGATGATAAGAGGAAGAAATAGGCACATTTGTTTTCAGTAATGTGGGTTCTTGTTTAGCAAAGGGCAAACACGCCATTCAAGTCTCACCATTTCTCTACACAATCAAAACTAAATAAAATGAATGATTAGGCCAAATACTCTAGAGAAAAAAAGTGGAGAAAATAAAGCTACATATGCAGAATTAGTATTTTGTATAAATCTTATGCTTTTAAAAGTATTTCAGAATTACAGAATTGAGGCAAACAACTCAATAACACATCTAAAATGTGAAATGAATTTGAAGACACTTATTACAACGATACCATAGACTCCAGAGCAAATTGCAACAGAATGTTTTAAGTTTAACCTGATATTCCTCTGTCAATATGCTAGAGATATGCACTGTTTACATTAAATATCAGACTGAGTATGAGGCCAGAATGTACTCTTCACAGATGAAAGAAACACCTTCCTTCTGTTCTGACATTTGCAGGAGTGTTTTCGGGATCTGCTGGGCTGGCCAGGCTTTATTGTAATTCCATGTTTTCACTTAGATCCTTACTGGTTGCACACTGAGCTCCGCATGCATTCACCAGAACTCAGCTTAACAGAAACAATGGGAGTCTGATGCTACAAACAGACGTGCTTAGCTTTACCTGAGAAATGAACATGAGTTCATGCATGAGTTACTGCTGCTATTTCAGTAACTTCCCCTATAATAAAGGAATACCTGTTAAGTTAGGTTTGGTGTGGAGCCAGCAGAACAAGTTGCAATGAATTCTCTTCTGATCTCTGACAAAATCAAACCAGTAAACATCAAACTATATTATCCTTCAAATTTTTGTACAGGAGCAAATAATACAATACATAAAAGACAGATGAACTTTAGGAATTCTTGAAAAGTCATGTAGGAGAAAAAGCATGATAGGAGAGGCACTGAAAAGCTATGTGCAATTTTTACCAGAAAAAAGTTTGTGGTGGATATGAAAGAATCAAGGTCTGGCAATAGTGTCTGGATGCAATTGAGTACTCTTTTATTTCTGAATCAGAGCAATAGAATATACTTCTACATTGCAAACTTTTACTGTCCCATTTCACATTCCCTTACACTCTTCTAAACAGAGGCAATCCTCCTCTTCAATACATGATAATTATTTCCTTCAAGCCTTCACTAAGGTAAGGAGCCAGAGTTAATTCTCTTCTCTGTGCTTTGCTTACACTGCTGGTGTTGTGATTATCCTTCCATGTTCTCTTAGATTATTTGTGTGTTTCTCTCTTCCACCAGATCAAATGCTCTCAGAGGGCAGAAGCCAAATGCAATTCTCTGTTTTATGTCCTTGGGGACTGAGCAGTTTCTGGCACTCAGTAGACACTCTATAAATATTTTAAAATGTTTGAAGTGTAAATTAATTCAAATTGTTTTTTTTAAAGGTAGTGACAATCAGGTGCTCTGAAGGATGAATGGGGTGCAGAGAAGGTGGTAGTGAAATGGGTGTTGAGGGAGAAAACTAATTTCAGAGCAATAGACGGGATCCTTCTATGATAGGCAGGGGCAACAGGGATGCCCCAAGGGACTCAGCAAGGAGATGTGGAAGGTGGAAGAAGCTGATTAGTAAACAAGACCAGGATGTAGCAAATAGCAGTATCTTTCATTTGTTGAAAAGGAATGGGAGGTTTCACTGGTTGTAAATATCTGTGTAAGATTAAAGAATTTGAAAGCAAGAGGAGGAAATTGGACTTGGTGAGAGAAGCATTGCAAGGTTATTTACTGATATCTCATTTGATGAGGCAAGACATGGGGAGAATGATTTTCAATGAACAGAAATAGGCAGCAGTATGTGAAATGTGATTTTGACTATTTAAAAATGAGATCTAGACAAGGAAAGTAATTTTTTTTCTTCTTCTTTCCTGATGCAAAAAAAAAAAAAAATGCTCTCATTCCAGTTCTTAAATTCAAGGCATGTTAGAAATTCAATAGTTAAGTAAAAATATGATACAGTAGAATTTTGTATGCCAGCCTCTAAGTCTACTTACCATTTATATCATGACAAAGCAACATCAACTGCTGAGTGATTGCAGAAGGTTTGAATGAATGAACATCAGACCCATGTAGGATTCATTCCTATTGCTACATATGCACGCAGTGAAATGGTATCTGAAAAGAGGTAAAAATGGTACCTATCTTAAGGGTTGTTAAATTGTAAATTAATATTCAGGATATATTTATCACAATATTAAGTGCTCAGAAAGATGTTAGATTTCATTATTTTTTTAAGAAATATTTTCATATGCATTTCTTCCTATTGATTTTATAAACAGTTGTAAATATACATAAGAATTCTGAACAAATAATTCACCTACATATGAAGTTTAAAATATAAATTATATGTTTTGGGATTTGAGGGGCTAGGGATTTGGCTGAGTATAGAGTTTCTAGAATGCTTTCTTGGATATGTGAAGCCCTGGGTTAGATACAAGCATCACCACATACATTCACACACACACACACACACACACAAAAGTTTTTGTCCCAAACCTCAGTCTTATCTTTTGCTCAATTTTTTGTTTATTTATCATTATCTCTCTGATATCAAAAGAACCAAATAATCAAACTTTATTAATCTAGCCATAAGCAACTAGAAAGTGCCTTCCTCAGTTTTTAGTTCTTCAGTATCTCTGAAATCTTCCACCATCCTGGAAGCCACTGCCCTAGTTAAGTTTTCAACAATTCTCATCTACACTGATACAACATCCTCCAATCCTGTTTCTCTACCTCTAACTGTTTTTATGTATGACTTTTTGAGTTATTTCTTCAACACACACACTGTCAAACCATTCCCAGCTTAAAGGACTACAATGGCTCCTCACTGACCAGAAAATCTCCCCCAATTATGTAACAGAGCATCTACAATTGAGACCCTGCCTACATGTGATATTCACCCATTCTTCCCTTTTTTCCATTCTCTTGCTAGACTGAACTACATTCATATCCTCCAGTATACAAAATCCTTTCATACTCTCTTACATTATAAATTCTCTTAGGGGAGTAAAGAAATTTATCTTATTCCATGTCCCCTACTATCTATGAAGTCCAACTAAAAAAAAAGGTAGGGATGGCTATTTTTATATTTCAAAACAGGACCATGTGATTGTATTTAAAATGATTCTTATATTAGTAATATTTTACTGAACAGAAAAGTTTAATTTGAGAGAAAATACAAATTTCTCTTCAATCTATAATTGATTCTGCAATATAATTTCCTTCTCTTTCTATAAACCTCCATTAATGACTTGAAGAGACTCCTGGAAGCCATAAGACAAAAATATTGTTTTGTTAGCATTTTATGAAATTGTATGTATTGGTTAATAAGCTTATTTACATTTTCTTTCATTTAAATA